GAACTAATACTGAGAGCACAACCCAAATAAACTCCTGCAGGAAATACTTTAGCATCTGCATCCTGGGAACCTGAAAAGTGATTAAGGCCCAAATAACTGGAGGGTCAAAGAATGGAAAATGACATACCACGCAGATAATTAACATAAGAAAGATGTTCAAGCTAATATTACATCACATAAAACGGGCCTCAAGATGAAGACTATTAGCAAATATAAAGAAAAGAATCGGAAAATGATGAAAAACAATAAATTATTCAAGAAGACATAACATGTGCCTACAAGCAGAGTTACAGAATACATGATGCAAAAACTGACAGAATTAAAGGAAGAAACAGATAAGTCTATGATCATAGTTGGAGCTTTTATGACACACTTTTCACAGCAACCAACAGAAGAAAAGTAGACAAAAATAAATTTTAAAAAATATACACGTAAGATTTGGAAAGCGTTATCACCAATGTGACCTAATTGACAGTTTCAGGACACTAATACCCAGTAATGATAAAATGCACACTATTTTCAAATGGACATGGAACATCTACCAAAAGGATAGACCTGGGCTATAGCTGGGCTATAAAGTAAATATTGATAGATTTTAAAGTTGAAATGTTACAGGGTATGGTATCTGATCACAATGAATTAATTTAGAAAGCAATGGTAATAAGATATATAAAAAAATCCCCAACATTTGAAAATTAAACACTGCACTTCTAAATAATTTGTGAACCAAAGAAAAAAAATACAAGTAAATATAATAAATGTTTAGAACAAAATGATAATAAAAAGATATCAAATCAAACTGTGGTGTGCAAATAAGGTAGTGATTAATGAGAAGTTTATATCTTTAAATGGTTATATTAGAAAAGAAGGATTTAAAATCTGTGACCACTTTAAGAAACTAGAGGAAGAAAAGGAAATTAAACAGAAGGTAAGTAGAAGGAAACAATAAAGAGTAGAAATAATTGAAACAAAATTTGTGAACAACAGAGAAAATTTACATATTCAAAAGATGATCATGAGAGATACTGGTGATTTTAAAAGGGTAATAAGGAAGTATTATAAACAATACTATGCCAATTAATTCAAAGACACACAAAATCAGTGAATTTCCTGAAAGATACATATATAAAATTTGACCTAATTAAAATAGAAAATGTAAATAGTCCTGCATTGATTAAAAAACTGAATTCATGATTAAATATTTATCAAAAAAACCTCCAGGCTCCAGGGTCATATGGTTCAATTAATAAATACTAGCAAACTTTTTTGCTACTATTATTTAAAAAAAATTTAAAAAACAATTTTTTTTTTACAAATTCTTTCAGAAAAAATAGAAGGAAACACTTTTCATTCCATAATAGGAGATGAGAATTACCCTGACCCCAAAACCAGAAAAGGACAATTTTAAGAAAAGAAAATATGGATATATAATTTTTATAAACATAGATGAGAAAATATTTAAAATATTCTCAATTCAAACCCAGCAATAGAAAAAAATCATGACCAAGTGTGCTTTATGCCAGTAATGTAAAGCTGATTTCACATGTGGAAATCAATGTAATTCAATATATTAACATAATATTATTTCCATGAGTGCAAAAAAAATTTGACAATATTCATCATCCATTCATGATACAAACTCTTGGCAAACTAAGAAAAGAAGTGTTTTTCCTCCATCTGATAAAGGCACTCTTGAAAAATCTATAGCTTATATCATATTCAATGATGAAATACTGAATTATTTCGGTAGCAAATCAAAGACATCTTCTTTTCCTACTTCACCACAATATTCTACTAGCAATCTTAGCCAATACCAGACAAAAATAAAGAAATAAAATAAGCAAAGTTTAGAAAGAAGAAACTTTAATTCACAAATGATTTAATGGTTTATAGAAAAAATTCTGGGACATTCATCCCCCAAATCCCCAAACTACTAGAACTAATGAGTGAATTTACCAAAGTTACATGTATAAGGACCTTGCCAGTACTAAATAAAAATATTAACTAAAACATTATAACTTTAGTCAATGCCTCTCTAGTTCAAATATTGAAATATCAAAGCAGTGATTTTTCAGAGGGACGGAAGTTGGGCTAATCACAGTCCAGCTCCAGTTAAGTTCAACAACTTTAGGAAGGGTCTCAATGAACAGATCCTCACCTTAACTGCCAGAGGAAAGAACTACCACTTTTTGGGGAAATAAAACACAAAAGAAATATTATGCTTCAATCTCTATTGATTTATTGTATATAATGTTCAGAACATTATAAATATTTTGTGACCTAACAAAAAGCAGAAAAATATGACTCCTAGTGGACAGAAAACACAGTAAATAAAAGCAGACCTGTATATAACCCAAGTGTTGAAACTAGCAGATAAGGATTTTAAAACTAATGTGAATATATTAAGTAACTTATAGGAAAAGATACACACACAAGGTATATAAATGTCTATATGCCATATATAGGTATTAATATATACATATCTGCCATACATCCATCTGTCATATACAGATCAATACATATATGTATATAATATATATAAAATATATATGTATTGTTAGATATGAGTTCTAAATTTCTTTTCAAAGAATCAATATGTCAGTATGTTCAATTCTTTGCCTTCTACTTTTAAACTTAACTTCCTCATAAGGCAACGTTTTTCGATTACCTGCTCCACCCTGACGCATTTCAATCACCTATTCCACCCTGACTCATTCCAATTACCTGCTACCTCCTCCACCCTGACTCATTCTCCACCCTGCATGACCATTTTTTCCCACCAGACAACTCAACCTGTCACTCTCTTTAAATTAGCGAATCGGAATTAGTTTAGCCATCTAACCCTAGCCAATAGGGGAAAGACACAGCAGCAGGGGCTACGTGTGTCAGGGATAAGAACCCCTTTTCCTCTCTTGTCCAGGTGTGCGCTCACCATTGCTCCATCTGTAAGGGTGCACCCTCCAATAGAAGTACATTACATTGCCTTGCTGAGAATTAAAAAGAAAATTTTATATTTGAGTGCTATTTCTTTTGTGGCACTGAAACTTTATTTATAACAGTATGTATCTCTATATTGCATATGGAGAAGAAATGGAAACTCTTAAGAATTAAATAAAATTTTTAGAATGAAAATAACAATACATTACATAAGTATTATTTGAGTGGACTTAACAGCATATTGGACATTGCAAAAGAAAGGACCAGGATATCTGAAGCTAGGCCAATGCAAATTATCCAAACTGAAGCACGGAGGAAAAAAGTGGGAGTGGCAACTGAATTGAGTATAAGTAACCTGTGTAGTATTATCAAAAACAAAAACAAAACAAAACAAAAAAACAACAGGAGAAAGAGAATGATACAGAATAATATTGGAATAAGTAATGGCCAAAATTTTCCCAAATCTGATGAAAAACATCAACCCAAGAGCCTTACATCACCATGACCATCAAACAGGAAAAAGAAAAAGCACAACTGAACGCATCATAGTCAAATTCTGAAAATAAGAGAATGCTTTATTAAAGCCAATCATAAGAAATGCATAGAGGGAAACAAAAATAAAGTTATATCTGATTTCCGAGAAATCCAAACTTAGCTCTCATTATATATCTTCTCTTTACAAATATAATGAGTACTATCCTGTCCCAATGCCTTACCCAGACATTCACAGCTCTCCATTCAGCTTTATCTTCAAGTAATCACTACTATACAGTTTCCTGTATCAAAAATGATTATTTTACTATTGTCACAACTTCCCCTTCACAATTTTAGCTTGTACGGCATCTTTCTTGTCTGATAGCTCCTGAAAACCATCTTAATCAATGTTTAAATACCTCAGAAATGCTACTTTCTCCATGAAGCTTTTTCTGGTCCTCAAAACCAGAAGTGACCTGGTCATACTGTCACACTTTTGTTATATTATTTTTACCTTTCTCTGCAGCACTTTTCATACTCTGTCTTAATTTATTGTCATTTGTGTACACGTTTTTCTAGAAAACAAATGAAAAACAAAAGCTGCCACAGGATGTCTGTGATAACAAGATTCTTTTTCATTTATCTTTGTTAACTCCTGAAGTGCCCTTCCTATTAAAAGATGCAAATAAACAGTTGTCAAACTCAGTAGCTTCCAAACTACTAGATTGTTAATTGAGTAAAAAAAGTAAGCACCTCAAATATGTGTACATATTTATTTAGGTGTCATTTATATGTGCTAACGAATTATGTACATTTTTATACAGGCACATTATAGAATATATTTAAAAGCATAGAAAGGAAGTAATAAGAATGAAATAACATTTTATAAAGAGTTTTTCAGATTACTTGACTATAATTCCTGTCTATGATAGAGTAACTGGGACCTAATATTGCCACTGTAAAACTAAAACTAAGGAAACAACATTGGAAACAATTGTTTAGATAGCACAGGGCTTGGTCCTTGAGAGAAGAAAAAAAGTGAGGTTAGCCCTTGTGCAGTAAAAAGTGAATCGTCCAAACTCAGCACATTCAAAAGAAAGGCTTGTCCCTTAACCAATTCCTGGGAGATAACCTTTAAGCCCTTGGAATATCTTAACTTATAAGAGTACCTGTGTTTAGCTGGAGCCCTGGGCCACACCAGACACTCTATGCTAACAATGATGATAACAACGTGATTCTTGGTGGGGGCTTTGGGACACGCAGAATCAGTCTGACTTCTGAAGGGGCTAAAAACAGTAATGAAGATCAGCCACATGGGTGGTCAGACATGTTTATATAACTGACCTCCAATAATAGTAACCCCTGGGCACTAAGGCTTGGATGAGCATCCGCCGTTGGCAACACTCTGCATGTACTGTCACACATTGCTGCAGGGACAAATAAGTGCTATTTGTACAACTCTGGACAGAAGACAACTGGAAATGAACTCTCGGTTTCTCCTGAACTCTGCCCCATATGCCTTTTTCCTTTGTTGATTTTAATTTGTATTATTTCATTCCAGTGAATCTACTGAAGATTCACTGCTATATCCTTATTGCCTGCAAAGCTGCCTGAAAAAGTAGTTTCTCAAGAAACATTAGAGTAATAAATGAATGACTGAAATGGTGTGTAAGCCATAACCATCTTAGAAACAGCTGTGAAATCAAGCATGTGAGTGTGACAAGGTGAATTTAAGTGTGAAAAACTGGGAGAAATGAGTTTAAATGGCAGTCAGGAATCAGAAGATTTGCCAATCATGGAACAAACAGAAGAAAAAGAGGTAAAATCCAAGAACAAAGATGAGCTCAAAAACAGTACCAAGTAGTATCTGTAGCACACTCCGATAACAGACTTAATTACAGTAAACGCTAAATGCTCGTGATGTCATTATCTTCTACTAGACTCGCCCAACCCAAAGACTTTTAATTTAAATGATCAAACAAATTAATGGTTGCTTATTACATGTAAAGCAGTGTCACAGGTGTTAGGATTGCTGAGTAAAAAAAACATGACCCGACCCTCAAGGAGTTTACCATCTAAATGACAAAGCAGGGTCCTGTGAATAGAAATTTAAAGTATAGTAAGTGTCCATAAAGTGGAACAGATAGAAGTTAATGTAAACTTAAAGATTCTAGAAAATGTCCTCAGAAATTCTTAGCTGGGTTTTGATGAATTCAAATAAGGGATCCTGGGGGAGGTATCTGCTCAATGATATCACTGAAGCCACAAAGTAGTGTAGGGGCTCATAGCCAATCTGGACCACATACAAGATGAGTAAAGAAGGAACACTGGTCAGGAATAAAAGGATGGCGCACACACCACAAAGAAGAAACAGAAAATGTTGCCCCTGAAAAACAAAAACCTCAAAATAAAAATAACCTTGGCATTTTACATGCCAGTCCACAGGAAACCAAAATGCAATTATCTAGATATTTACAATTTAGTTACTTACACTTGAATTCATTTAGGTGGGTCAATGTTTCTTGCAACTAAGAGTCTTCGGAGAACAGAGATACACTATTGCTACTAAGAATATGGCGAAAATATTCCTGTATTTCCTTTCATATGCTTTGTGATTAATTTAATTGTGACACTTCAGATTCTTTTTAATCCCAATTTATACAGAATGTAAAATATATAAATTTTACCTTAGGTTTCAGCAACAGAAAATGATTAATGGGTACCAGTTTTTACTGTATACATACTGTATGTGATATGGTTTAGGTTTTGTGTCTCCACCCAAATCTCATCTTGAATTGTAATCCCCATAATCCTCATAATCTCCACGTGTCAAGGGAGAGACAAGGTGGAGGTAATCGAGTCATGGGGATGGTCTCCCCCATGCTATTCTCAAGATAGTGAGTGGGTTCTCACAAGATCTGATGGTGTCATAAGTGTTTGGTAGTTCCTCTTGCGTTCATTCTCCTTCCTGCTACCTTGTGAAGAAGATGCCTTGCTTCCCATTCGCCTTTTGCCGTGATTGTAAGTTTCCTGAAGCTTCCCCAGCTATGCAGGACTGTAAGTCAATTAAGCCTCTTTCCTTTATAAATAATCCTGTCTTGGGCAGTTCTTTACAGCAGTATGAAAATGGGCTAACACAGTATGACACAATCTGTGTTTGGTTTTTCTCATATATACTATCACCTTTAATCTTTAAAATGACATATTAATATACATATTATTTTCCACACTTTGTAGATGAAGAAATTGAGGCTCAGAGAGGATACACAGTAGTCCCAAGATCACAGATAGAAAGTAGCAGCAGAACTTGAACTCATGTTTATCTGATGCAGAGCTCACACTGTTTCTAGCAATTTAAGTCACTTTATTTCATTCACACTGTGAAATCACAATCAGGAATGCACATCCCTGAAATAAAACATTTCGAATAGTTTTCAAAGGTTACTAAAGTCAATATAAGCATCTGCTCTGCCAAGTTTACACTGTTAATAATATTTAAAGGTAGTCATCTTTTTTTTCCAGGATGTTTATTTCAACCCCTTGTTAGCGGTCCTTATGTCATAAGGCCATTTGAATATTAGCATCTTTCTGGACAATATAAAAAATGAACTTAGCCATAAACACAAAAACTTGGGAAAGAAAGAAAAATGTAAAGACATGTAACTAGTTTCTGGGGAATTTTTTTCCTGCAATTTTTCTGTAGCATACATGGAATTTCTTTCTAATAGTTTGAAATATCCTCTTCAAACCCAAGAAAGGGGAAGCCTTACAACTGTGCACTTTAGAGTCTACTCTAACTCAGAAGCCATGATTCATTCTGTACAGATCCTGGTAATGAGTCATGGTTCTGCTTATTTATAGGTTGACTCCATCAGTTGCTCACAACCCCAGGAATGCAAAAGCATCCTTGACGTTCAAAGACTCCCACTCTCATGCCACCTTTTTCTCTTTGCATAAAGTGGACATGGGTCTATTTCCCACATTCTCAAGAGTCCACCAAAAAAGCAAATCTGCATTTGACCATCAGAATGATTTTAAGGGCAAGACTTGCTCATAATATTTTTTCCTATGTGACATAAGCCTCAATTCTCCTTAGCTGAAAAGTAAGAACAACAACAATAGCTTCTATTCACATAATTAGAGTGTAAGGCACCACCAGGGTAGGACTGTTTTCTAATTGTTCATGGATTTTTTTCCCCTATTCCTAGAATAGTGGAGTATGTTTAGTGGATTCTAATGAATAAAAGGAATAGAAAAAAATGTAGATGAAGTCATTTGGTTACTTGGAGTCAAATGTAGTCTAGTTCAGCAAACACTGCTTAAGCATCTGCTATGTTCTTGGGACAGTTCTTAGAATACAAAGAATCTTCAAAGATTCCCACAGGCCAGGCAAGAGAGCAAGGGGCTAGGTAAAGGGAGATGGGATTAGTTCTCCGATGCAAATGCATGTGGAAGTTTCTTTCTTTTCCCCCCCCCCCTGAGATGGAGTCTTGCTCTGTCACTCAGAGCTGGAGTGCAATGGCACGATCTTGGCTCACTGCAACCTCTGCCTTCCAAGTTCAAGCAATGCTTCTGCCTCAGCTTCCCAAGTAGCTGGGACTACAGGCACATGCCATCATGCCCGGCTAATTTTTGTATTTTTAGTAGAGATGGGGTTTCACCATCTTGGCCAGGCTGGTCTCCAACTCCTGATCTCCTGATCTGCCTGCCTCAGCCTCCCAAAGTGCTGGGATTACAGGTATGAGCCACCGCACCCAGCCTGTAAGTTTCAATATTTTTATGTGCAGTGTTAGATCTCCCCAGTGAGGGGCGTGTGTGTGTGCACATGCATGTTTGTGTGTGTCTGTGTCTGTGTGTGCATACGTGGGTGTACGCTTTAGAGGCAGAGAGGAAAAAGATATTGTGGAATAAAAAAAGTAATGAAGTACCCTGATCAATTTAGATCACATGAAAATTAGTAGGGCATGCCACTGCTGTGTATCAGTTCCGACTTTCTGGAAAAAGTACGGGCATTTAAAAACGTCAGGTAACAATGCCAGGTCATGTTAAACCAACATATTTCAGATTAGGATCCAAAAACCACTTGTCACAGTTTGTAGCCCTGAGCCAGTGACTCTGCTGGCAGGCGGTCAGGGAGATGTGGCTCCTCTCCACTGCACAGTGTCTATATCACTGATCAGGTGGATAGATAGTCCCAGAAGGAGGCCCTCACCAACCCATTTCCCCAGACATAGTCAGAACTGGGGTCAGCTGCACAGATGGGAACCGCAGGAAGAAGAAGACCCTTAACAAGGACCAGGAAAGTGGGGTATGCATAAAGAAAGGAAGCTGTTCTTGCAATGTGCCAGTGACCTCATGCCTGTCCCTGAGGCCAGCATGACTGCTTGCAGTGTAAGCGACCCATCTGCCAGGGTGACCTCAGGCCTCAGAGTAACAGCAAGTAAAGCCATGAACACACTGTTCTCTGGACACTTTTACAACTTTTCCTTTCCAGGGCTTACAGCTCTAGACTTGAGACCTGCAACTCTTCCCCTTTGTTCACTATGACTCTAACAAATTTAAAACATGTCAGTTCCCTCCACCCCCAAGAAATGTGAATAAATACTTCCAAAAAGCAGAAGCATTTCCCTAAATTTTTGTTTTTAAAAGCCCCCCTTAATCGGAAAACAAAGAAATAAACAAAAATCCAATGGATGCTCCAATCATTATTTGAATGGCACAGGATTCAGTTTCTGTCAGATCAGTTCAAACTATCATGAATGAAGCAGGAAATTATTTTCCTGTAGCAAGTAGTGAAATAAAGCCATAAGACTACAATCTAAACATTTAATGCCATCAATTATACTAAGAAACATATCAATGTTTTTCTAAGAAAAAACTCTACTAGTAAAGATCAAACTGTTCAGAGGATAAACAAATCTAGATTTTTCCAATACTAGAATGTCATACTAACAAGAGCAAAGCATTGATATAATGTACCAAAAAAAAGGTAGTAACCTATTAAAATGATTGGATTTCCAGTTCTGAAGGGACATAAAATGTCCCCAATCCAAAATAGTGTATTGTGCTTAAGGCTATGAGAGCAGCGTTAAGAGTCTCTACTGCCAACTAAAACCTGAATTTTAAACTCTGCCTCATTTACCAGTCATGGGACCTTAGTCTCAAAATTGGAGATAATAATATCCTCTGGGAGGCTAGTGTGTGAATTAAAGATCACACAAAAAAAGCATCCAAAGGTTGGCCTATAGTGCATGCTTCATAAATTTTATTACTACAGTCACTTCTAAAACACAGACAATGAAACAGCCTGATTTGCCTATTTGAAAACCTGTAGTGTCAAAAAAATCATTTTCTTAAGAGGCAGCCCTTTCATTTTCAGATAACTTACACTACTAGAAAGTTTTCTATCCATGGCTTTCCTGGAACTTTGGCTCAAGAAAATTCACCTATTGTCATGGGTCAAGTCTAAACCTTCTTTCATGTAACAGCCTTTCACATAACAGTCTTTCACACATCAATGATCCGTCCTGCCCAAGAGCTTTTTCTCTCTCAGGAAGGGCATCTTCAGTTCCCTCAGTCCGCTTAATCCATCTCAGACTCTTTTAAGATCTCCAGGATTCTTCTTTAACGGTGGTCCCCACAGTCATGCAGTTGTGGTCCAAGACAGTTCAAGGTTATTACAACTCTCACTTGTCAGTGTAGCCTGAAGAGTACATTAGCTTTATCCTCAGACACTGTGCAGTCCTAATTCATGCCTACACCCAGCCATCAAAATTCCTAAGTCTTTGTCCCATGTGATGCTTGAGAGCCCTGTGTCCTCCCAGTCACTCACCACACATGCAGTTGCTATTTGGGCCCAAGTGAACAGCTTTTCATGTGTTTCTCCTAAATGCTATCTTGTTGGACTTGAGTCCACTGTTTCAGGCTGTCTGTTAGATTCTGACTCTGCTGTTCAATATCCTCTTTCCCAGTGAAGTTACTATGTCACCTACAAACTTTCTTAGCATGCCCTCAATGCCCTCATAATAAACATGTTGGCCGGGCATGATGGCTCAGGCCTGTAATTGCAGCACTTTGGGAGGCCGAGGTGGGCAAATCATGTGGTCAAGAGATGGAGACCATCCTGGCCAACACAGTGAAACCACGTCTCTACTAAAAATACAAAAATTAGCTGGGTGTGGTGGCACATGCCTGTAGTCCCAGCTACTTGGGTGGCTGAGGCAGGAGAATCACTTGAACTTGGGAGGCAGAGATTGCAGTGAGCCGAGACCGCCCCACTGCACTCCAGCCTGGTGAAAGAGCGAGACTCCATCTCAAAAAAATAATAAATAAATGAACATGTTGAAAAGCGCAATGCCAAGGGCACATTTTAAAGAGGGCACTAGAGGTATATCTCCAGATTTATATCAGTTCATCAGGAATAGTTATTGAGCTAATTTCTGTCTTTTTCTCATAAATATCTGAGCCTTTGGCATGCACTTTGCTGAATTCTGTGTGTGCTAAGTGTAATGCATGTCTTTCTTCTTCCTTTCTGGTACTGCTATCATAAAAGACTATGAGGTTACTCTGGCATGTCTTTTGCCTACAGAACTTACATTGGCTTCTCATTATCACTGCCTCCTAAGTATTTAAATTTAATCATTTGAGAATTTCATTTTAGAATCAGCAATTCACAAGAAGTTCAATGGTTCACTGATCTATAGTTTATTATGTTATACAAAAATACAATTGAAGAGAATTATTTTTAAAGCAAATTTCATGATGAAATCTACGTAAGGAATGTGCTTTTATTAGATAACAATATGGATTAGGAATCAGGGACATGAATTTACGTCTGTGATCCACCACCTAGAAAAAGTTAATGGGTGTGTGTAGATGGGTTTCCAAATATCTTCTCGGGTTTACAAGGCTAACTAATAACTAAATAACACTGAGACTCTTCCATAGACAGGCATTCTGTAGTCCTTTCCTTTCTCTGCCAAGACATTCTGTATCTTTATGAGGTTACCCAACCCATTCAGTTTGAGTGCAAGGAAGTTAGCACCTGCCACGAGGGATCAGAATGTGAAATGTGATGAGAGGGCCCTGTGATAGGTGCCTGACCTTAGCAAACAAAAATAAAACCTTAAAAAAAAAAAAGATGAAAATGCAGTAACACACCAATCAGAGTGTATTTGTCTGTCCCTGAATAGGGGCCATTAAAGTTCCACTCTATAGCAAGCAGTGGTTGAAGTTGTGTACGATTCATGGAACAGCAGTGTCAGGAGATGTCAGGGAACTCCCTCACTGTCCCAACTTTTGACACTACAACATGATAGTCTCCGTGAAAAAAAAAAAAGAAAAAAAGTCAACCAGTCATCTTAGTGATAGGAACTTGGGCCCATTTCTCATCTGGTGTAATACTTCACAAAGCAGATCCAAACACAATGCAGCGCCCCTGAAATCAGCAGGAGCTCAGCACTCTGTTCAGTGCCAAAGAGCAAGATGAGAAATGGGGCTGGCATAAATATTCAATTGGGAAGTTATGGCCAATCTCCTTGCGCCGTGTGTTTAGTGCAACTCAAAACTGCTCCACCTGGTCCCTGCTGGCTCCCTCATGTCTACCAGGGACTGGCAGCTGGGAGGCAGGCTGAGCCTTGGAGATCTTTTAATTTGCTGTAGCACCAGGAGAGCAGGCAGGAGGGATGACAATGCATATGCTGGGATTCAATTACAGAGCTGTCTTTTTCCCAGGTGGGAGGCACCACTGACTGAAGAGAATTCAATGCTTCCGTTTGTTAAGGTCTCTAAGGAAATGACTGGTGGTTTGCAAATGCTGGGGGTGGGGGTGGAATAATGCACCATGGTCTGCCCTCATGACAAAGATATTGGCCAAAAAAAAAAAAAAAAAAATCAAGAAAATGGAGTATTTTGTTGGGTTCATGTGTTATCTTTACTTTTCACTTATTTTCCAAAATGAAATCATTCTGTAACTTCTGCCCTATGAATCTCACTTCCAAAAAAGTTTTTAAATATTGGATAAAATTAGATGTTTTCCAACCACGAACATTTAAGGGGAACACACAATGTTATAAATTTAAAGCACTCCAACAGTTCCTAAAAGTTCCACAAAAATACCTGCGATATAATTCTTTCTTTACAACAGAAGGTTATAATAACACTAATTTTAAGGAGACTGATCTCAATAATCTGTGATAATTTGTCCTTGCTGAGGGATGGTACACTTCATATTGCACTGGCTTCAAAACAAAGTTCATCAAATACAAGAGTAAGATTGCATGAGGAGTGATTAGTCAACTAGCGTCAACTGAATGATTTTTTTTTTTTATACTTTAAGTTCTAGGGTACATGTGCATAACGTGCAGGTTTGTTACATATGTATACTTGTGCCATGTTGGTGTGCTGCACCCCATATGAATAGTTACTTTGCTAATTACAAATCAGTATCATCTATTTATTATAGTAGATCTGTCAGTGCTATTACTTGGACAAACTCCCTGAACAGGTAGCTTTACTTTATTATATATTTCAAGGAAACAAAAAGTTACATTTGTTTGAACTTTATCTCCCCAGGCCACACTTGCCCTAGAACAGCCTATTCTCCCCAAGGTAGTTAGAGTAATAACCAATTTACTGCAATCAGTCCTCTGTTCTAAACCCTCTACTGCCTTCTCATGTCTCTTAGAGTAGTTCCCAAATTCCTTCCACAGTCTCTAAGGCCTTGCTTCCTCACATGGCACTCTGATGCCCCATTTCTTGACCTCATTTCCTAGGTGATTCCCCTCACTCACAGAGCCCCAATTCTCTACATCCCATCTCCCCAGTCTAAGCTGCTGTTTGTTGAACATACCCATTGTGTTCCCAGGTTAGGACCTCTGCACTTGATTTCCCCTTTCTCAGGAACACAGTTCCCCCAGCCATCCTCCATGTCCTGTGTCTCAGCTCAAACATCCCCTGTTCAGAGATTCCCTTCCTGCTCTCCTCATACAAAATGAAAACGTTTGTACTAATTGCCTACTATCCCAATATCTCATTTTATTCTTCTTCAAGGCAATTATCTCCCTGACATAGTGTATATTGGTTTATTTAATTGGCTCTCCCTCTAGAATGTATACTCTATGAGAGCAAGAAGCCGAGCACACAATGCTTATCACATAGTAAGTGCTCAATGAACACTTGTTAAATGTATGAATAAATTTTCCAGTAATTTCAATTAACCTGCCTAGTTAGACTTAGCTACCCAGGCTTTACTGCACTACTCAATATTACTAG